ATAAATAAATAGTACAGTGGAGTTCACTAGAACCTGAGAAAGTTAACAAAGTATAGTTAGGTATAAAGTATAGTTATATGCATGCATATAAGATTGAAGAGATAGCTTTTGATTTCCTAAGAGAATAAGCTCCTCAAGTCCATTAGAAATTCTAGAAATTTCCATATGCTTAAAAATAAACAAATACTCCAAATTGTCCTGTTAGCTGTTGAGTCTCAGAGGGTAGCAGGAGAGGGGGAATCAGGTAGTGGGTAGAATGGGAAAACAGGGTATATGCTTGCACTTGCTTCTCTTCCAGAAGAAAGGGACTTGTTTGAGTGAATTTAAATGGATGCTCGTTATGGAAGTGTAAGCATCTTTTTTCTCAGGGGTTCTGGCTTCTATAAATCATTGACTGGGTGGCACATAGTGTATGCATTAGTTCAAAGGATTCCTCCTGTTTATACTAATTCTTTCAGAAGCTCCTGCTCTTCACAGAACTGGTTATAACCAACTACCTCATGCTCTATTTTATATCTAATCCATTGGATTCTATTATAATAATGTTACTCATAATATTGCCTTATCTTGGCTTACCCCAGCTTTCCATTATTCACCTCTCGAGTTATGTTTTCCTTGATCTTTCCTGTTCATATTCTTTTGCAAAGACCATTCTGTAGCTTACCTTAACATGGTAGAAAGCACATAGTAGATGCTTACAGCACATAGATCAGTGCTCTAATTATTTGTTATCCAAGTAGATCTTATGAAGGTTCTTACTTGACAACCATTTGTAAGTTTCACTGTGGTTACCTTTCATTAATGAAACTGTTTCTTTGTAGAGTCTGTAATTTGGTATCTAAGCTTTTAATAAATGATTTAACTCCCACAGTCACTAACACCTTACTGAATGACATTCCCTGCAAAAAACAACTATAAAATCTGCATGTTATACGAAAGGCAACTATTTGAAGATACTAGAAAGTAAATAGAGGAAGCAGATAGACTCTGGTGGGGAATTCATGCTAGTCTGCAGGTGGAAGAAAGGATAACTATAAAAATAATTGTCATCCCCCTGGCTTTTATCCCAGGGCTAAGTGCAGTCCACACAGCTCACAAGTGGAGGCAAGCATGGAAAAACCTGTAGTCTTTATGGTCTGGGGAACCAGAAAAGTAGAGTCAGGAAACTATAAACACTAAAAAGAGTGGAGTGAAGCTCAGAAGGGAAAGAGCCAGAGAGGGGAATCCCCAAATTCAGCCTACCCATATCTCTGACTCATCTGCGAACCATGTTTATGTGGAACAGACTGACTGCAGCCCAGTCAAAGAAAAATGATCTGAACAGAGACCAAAGCTGTTGCACAAGAGACAGCTTATAGTTCAAGCCCAGCCAGGAAACTTGCATACTGAGAATAAAGGAAACAGTATTTATGGGACAAAACTAACAGGATCCAGAATATCCATAATCAAATTAATGATATAATCTGATTTTACCCAACATACATAGAACCAAATCAATCTAGTCTGACTCCAAGATACTGGAATGAAGGGATAAGAATTTTAAATGGGCTATTATAACTGTCTTCAATGAAGTGAAACAAAACATGTTTTAAGTGAATGAACATCTCAGCAGAGAAATAGAAGTTCTAGTAGTGACAATAATAAGAAACCAAAGGGAAGTCCTAGAACTGAAAAATACAATTTCAGAAAATGAAAAAACTATACTTAATGTACTTAATAGCAAAATGGACACATCAGAGGAAAGAATATGTGAACTCAAAATCAATAGAAATTATTCAAAGTGAAGAACACAGAGAAAAAATATTCCAAAACAAAACTGATCAGAGTTTTACTGACATGTTAAATTATATCACATGGCCAAACCTGCTTTTGATTGGAATAGTAGATGGAGAGGGAAAAAGAGAGAATGGGGCAGAAAAAAATATTTGAAGAAACATTGGCCAACAATTCACAGATACAGGATGTGAAATGAACAGCACGAAGAACAAGCACAAAGAAATGTACAGCAAGTACACTATGATGAAATTGTTTATTGAAAACTACAATAGACTTCTTACATAAAAGAGATCAATGATCTGATTAACAGCTTACCTCTCATAAGAAGCTGTGGAGGCTAGAAGAGAGTTAAATAATACCTTGAAGGTACTGAAAGAAAAGAAAAACTGTCTATCCAGAATTTTATGTCCAGCAAAAACATCTTTAAAGAATATAAGGGAAATTAAGACATTTTTAGATAAAAAGCAAAAAAAAAAAACTAAGAGAATTTGTCACAACAGACATGTAATATAAGTCCTAAAGGAAGTGGTTCAGACTGAAAGGAATGATACGAGGTGAACACATAGATCCTCAGAAAAAGAATGAAGAGTATTGGTAATGGAGGCTACCTGGGGAATGCAAAAGATTATGTTTTCCTTTTTCTACTTAATTTCTTTATAAACCATATAGCTGTTTAACACCGAAATCATTACATTGTCTTTTGGAGTTTGTAATATATATAGATGTATTACATACAACAACTGTAACAAGGCATTTGGGGAGGATATGGACCTATAAGTTTGTGAGATTTCTGTGCACTGTATAAAGCTGTACGTTGTTAACAATGAATGGACTGAAAAGTCAAGGATGTGTATTGTAATCCATAGGGCAACCATGAAAAGCAATGCAAAGAATTTTAACTCTTTAGCCAATAGGAAAAGTAGAATTCTAAAAATATATTCATATAGTCACAATAGGTAGTAAAGAAGAATCATAGAACAAAAAAAAGAAATACAATATAGTGGTAGATGCAAACCCAACTAACCATTATATTAAATGTTAATGAAAACAGAGGAAAAGTAAATTAATGAAGTTTATAAAACCTAGAGAAAATGTATTATAAAATTAGCAAATAAAATTAGAACATGTTTTATTATACAGTGTTGTCACACAACTATTGTAGTTTGAGGCTTTCTGACACCTGTAAGTTTCTCATTCTTGTATTTCAGATGGGAGAGGAAGAGGAACAATAAATGGGTGTGCATGCTTGTGTGTTTATATATACACATGGAGTCATCCATAATTTCTATGAATGCATTAATGAGACTTTTATAGTTCACATTAATAAATAATGTTTTAAATTTATTGGCGCATAGAAAACATTTTAACATTTTTCCAAATGCCTATATCTATGATTACCTCTAAATTAAATTTATTTTCATCAATTGAATCATCATACAAGGAGCTAACTGCTTTTCATGCCTTAACAGTTAAGTCACCCTTCTCATTTATGCTGTTTTGTGAAGGTTTTTGTAAATGCTTTGGCTTTGTTGTAGTGAATAGAATTCTGTACTGTGAACTGTTTATTAAGACTAACAGAAAATTTCATTGATTTTTGAATGAGGGTTTAGGTTGTCTCTAATTTGTGTAAGAAAAATAAATTAGCAACACTTTACATTGTTATGCTTCTACATAAACACAACACAGCAAACCTTAAATGTAACAGAGTGTACTATCTTTAAATATCTAAAATCTCAGGTTTTGTAACTAAAAATAACTTGTTGGAAAGAAATTCTAGTGAACTCACTCCTGATAATTCATAAGATTGATAGGTGTTAGTGGGACCTGTGAATGCAGCCAGGTAAATAAATGTTCTTTGGTTCCCTTGAGAGCTAAGATTTGACTTCTTCACTTGATAATGTTGAAATTTTTAAGCACAATTGGAAACCCTGTGAAGGCTAAGTATCTGAGTTAAAACCCATCAAATACCTTGGTTAATTTGAAGATATAACATGTGCAAGATTATCTACACAGTGATATAAGAAGCCTTTCTTTTTTCTTTTTCAGTTGGAATCAACAGGACTTGGCCTTAGTAGTAGTAGACTAAGAACAACTCTAAATAGAATACAAGAAAGCCTTATTGATCTGGTAAGTAATGATTGGAGTCAATTGTTATGGGTTATCTAAAATAGAAATCAGCCTTCCAATCAAGTACATGTAAATGTGTGTCTATATGTATATTGAGTACCTGAGTCCTTGGTATTATACTAAGTGCATGTAGGAAGTAAAACAGAGCTTGCTTATATTCTGCTCAGAGAGAAAACTGGTATATGTTACAGAATATGATATTGGCTATATGTCTAGCACAAGTTCAAAGAGGAGAAAGGTTTATGTGAAAATTTAACTTCAGAGAATGACTAAAGGAGGAAGTAAGACTTATGCTAGACTTCAAAGACCAGACAGAAATTAGTGGGAAAGAAAAAAGAAGAGTATTCAAATTAAGATACAGAGGCTGAACAAGGGCCATGAGGAAGGAGCAGGCCTGGCCCAAAGTTTGGCAGGTTATGTGATTGGGGCACTGGTATATGCTGAAGAGTTAGGTTGCAGAGAGTGTTTGGTACTGCTTTATAAATGGCCTTGAAATTCAAGGAGAAAGTTTAGGTTTAGTTTGCTGTGTAGTAGGGCATCTTGGTTCTTAATTGTTGTATCACATGGTGAAATGCATCTTATAAACATAGGTTAGGTAGCAGCACAGGGCTAACCTATTGTAGTGTTAAAACTATCATAAGCATTTAAAATAAGAAAGAACTCTTTTGCTGTGGTTGGTCGTTGTAGCCAGAAATTTATGTTGTTCAGAATGTTTTTCTGCATCTACGTTAACCCTAAATTTGTCTGAATTTTCCTTTATTCCTTCAACTGACCCCAAACAAGCAATCATTTTCCTCTTTTTTTCATAAGCTCTATATTATATGCATACTTCTGTTATTAAAGTTTTTATAAAGCCATGAAATCATTCATTCTCTTAAAGAAATACTTACTGAAACGGTTGCTATATGCCAGGCATTTTATAGTGCTAAGAGTTCATCAGTGCACAGAAGAGATACTTCCTGTCTTCTTGGAACTTGTATTTTATTGGAACAGAGAGACCAATAAACGAATGTGTAACACAGTGTCAGATACTGATGAGCGCTAAGATGAAAATGAAGCAGAGAATGATGGGATGGGGATCTTTGAGCAGAAGTGTGAATAAAGTGAGAGAGGCATGTGCTAACTAATCTTTCAGATGAGTGCTGTTGGGAAGAGGAAGTAACCAGTGTCCTTCTCCCTTATTTGGAGATCTTTTTACCTAGCACATTTTAAAAAATATATTCATAGCACTTACCTTGGCACATAGCATTTCTTCAACAAATGCATAGAGTAGATGAATAAAGTCCAATCCCTAGGTTTCATGTTTCTTAGCTTAACCTGGCTTGTTTTCTTTGCTTTGTTATTACTTTGATATTCATTTAATCTTGGTCTTCATTTTCAGAGTCAAGCCTTTTTTTTTTTTGTCTTTGTAAAATCCATTGGGTTTCAACTCCATTGGCAGTTTTGTTTGAATTTTGATTGTCTTCGTTTGATGCTTAGTATAACCTTGACCATCAGATCTTGTTCTCCAGATCATAATTTTTCTTGTTTCTGGCTGAAAGTCTCAAGATTGGTGGGCCAAAATTCACCACTAGAGTCATTCACTTTGGCATTTCTCT